CTTTTTTTTTTTCCTGGTGAAGTGGATAGGGTGGGAGTGCCATAACAGGGCTTTTTGACCTGGGGATTCCACAACAAGCAAATGGGGACTTCTGCAATTCTTGCAAATTATACATCCAGTTATTATAATGCAGTGCACAAAAAAGCCAGAACAACTGAGGGCTAAAAGGTTTTGCAAAATACTACGGGACAGCAATCATTGTAGCTGTACAAAACTTGCTCTCAACATAACATAACATAAAGGCACCATTGATATCTTTCCCCATTTTGGAAATACTGTAAAAAATTGCTACATATGGCACATAACACATTTTTACATACGTATACTTAATTTATAAAAGTTTCTTTTTCCTCTCTTGTTTTCTATCAGCGGAATTGCTAAAATAAAATAAATTGTTTAATTTAAAGGTGGAATACTTCATTATATAAAATAAAGTTTTACATGTGAATCTATGTGTTTTGTTTATGTCTTATACAGCAATAGGGTCTTGGTTAGCTATTACACTGGACAACCTTGCTTGCAACTCTTCTGGTGTGGAGAAGCGATTTGCTGGGTTAGTCCTGCTCTCAGCCAGCCGATATGCAGCGGCTGGCTCCAGACTGGTTGCCATGGGATTTTGTATGCTAAGAAATGGTGTATCCTCACCTATTCTTTCATCCTCTGTTTCGCTCTCAGAGCTAGTGCTCTGAGAGCTTGTGTCGGAGTCCGCTTCTACCCTGCTGGAAATATGGCCATTGGGCTTTGTTCTTTTCACCCTCCGGCTGTTGGTGAGTTTCTTTGGAGGCTCCTGTGCTGGTTCATACTCTTGTGTGGTCTCATACTCCTCATCCTCCACTATCCTCAGAGGACTGGGTGGCAGACTGTTGCTCTCATGGGTGGGATCGTTGTGGAAGGAGTTGAACTGCTGAAGGTGGTTGTCGTACTTCTCACGCAGCCGCGGTGGGGTCACCAACAGCAGCGGTCTCTCCTCGTCCATGAAGGGACTCACCGCCACCGAAGGGATGGAGATGGTCAAGCTGGAAACTGGTGGTGACATTTCAGATGGAGGGGACTTGGGAGAAGTTGGAGTGTGGAAATCAACAGGTGACATGCGAGCTGGTGTGGTCATAGCTGAGACATACCTGACAAAAAGAGATGGGAGAAGGTTGCGGACACAAGCAGGGACACAAGAACATGGCTGCTCAGGTGGGCTGTGGAGAATAGAGCAGAGAACCACTGAGGGGCCTCACCATCCTCATGTGCATCTTTAGTGTTCAGACATTCTTTTCTATTAGTCTTACATCACACGAGCCTATGAAACCTCTGATTTCTGGAACTATGGTGAAAAATGCTTCAGAGAGGAGGAACAGAGCAAAGCCCCCAGAACTATTCACCTCCAAAGATCCGTGGAGGTACTGTAAATTATTTGCCAAAATCATTTCCTGGAATGAATCCAGGAATGAGAATCAGAAACATGGGAATAGCCAGAAACTAAATGGATTTTCAAGTATTTTCTCAAACGTCTGCCGCACTCACTTCTGGTAGAATCTGGGGTACATACAAATGAATAAGAGGAAAGAAAGGAAGGGATTTGAGGAACAATCCTCTTGCAGCTTCACCCTCTTCTGGCAACCAGACTGTCTCAGGCTAAGGAGGAAAGCAAATGCTGGACAAAATCAGGAGCCACATTCTAGTGAGAACTTTGTGCTGCTCTGTGCATCCTGCCTCCCTGGCAGGCTGGCCTATGTGCAAAGAAATATGACTACTCAGTGCCTGAGACAAGCCCAGGAATCCAGCATGAGAACTAGGATGTTTAATTACAAAGGTGGGCACTAGAGAGCACAGAGCCTCAAGCATTTCAAAAGCAAATGGACATTCCTCACCCAAGCAAGCTGCAACAGGCACTGCATCTATCTGAGCACTTGTTAAATCACCTCCATATTGCAGCTGTCTTACAACACTGCCTCTGTTTTGAAACAACATAGAACATTTAAATGCTTCTTATGGTTTGTTTTTTTTTTCTTTCTTTTTTTGTTAAATGATAGCTTTTGACTGTTCCTTCTTAAGTTTTTCTAGGATGGAGTGTAGTCAAAGGTGATTCAAATATATGAAAGTGAATATATGAAAGTGAAGCTCTAGTGCTGCCACACTGCTTATCTCAAAGGAAGAGGACTTTGAGCTTGTTTGGATCAGTAGAGCCCCGTATGATGCTATAAAGTCACACTGATTCATGAGGATCAGCCTGAGACTTCCTGATTGAGGGAGCAATGTCCAGCACGACATTTCGCATGGTTTGGATTTGCTTTTTGGTCTTATCTTATGTTCATGTGCTTGAGTTTCAGCTCTGTCCAAACTTATGTCCTTCTCTTAGATATGGCTGGTTGATGAAGTTTATTTGTTGTTTATTAATATGAGTCCAAAAGTACCAAAATAAATCTGAATCAAACTTTCTTATCCAACTTGTGACTCAGCTCAACATATTCCTGTTGTTTAAAACAAAGAGTTATTGGATAAGAGAAACCAGTACAGACACTGAACAGATGTGATAAAATGGGATATATCTGTTTCAGTAGAAGTACATGATTTACATCAGCTGAGGAACAGGGGAAAAAAAAAAAAAAAGCAAACAACAAGAAATAATCTGGAATACATGGGAATTAATCAAGCTGGTTGCAAGTGAGAGCAGATGGAAATGAATAGGTCTGTGCATGAATGAATGAAATCATTATTTATTTCTTCTTGCATTAGTGAGCTTTTTATCTCTTTCACTTTTTATAATAGGTGTTGTCTGAAAAACTGAAGCCTTTCTATCTTTCCAGCTGGTACACCTTTGATACTGGAGTTTAGCTGATCTGGTACTGTAAATGCACTCAGTTAAAAGTGTTCAGTGCAATGTATGTGCACACTTTCATCAGTGTAAATGCTAGTGTGTTACGCATTCAGTGTTCCTGGCAGAGTTCCATACAGTATAATTGTATAGCACTAAGAAGCTGCTGTCCTCAAGCTAAGGTGCAGGTGCTGAATACAGGCAGCTATAGCCCATCCTGAAAGGAAGGTTAAAAGGTGATGGATTTATCCAGCTTTCTGGCCAACCATACTAGCTCAGTGAAAAGGGATTAGAGTGCATACACATTCAGCCAATTAACCAGTTATGTGCTGGTAACTTCACCATATGGTCCAGCTTGTCATGCAAACATGGTATTTTACAAGCCCCACTCCTGTTAGATAGCTAAGGACTTCATAAAATACACATGCTTGAGGCCTTTGTTCATAGTCATGGCATGGTATACAACAGAAGAATAGGGCCACGCAAAAGAGACCCTCTTAAAGTCTGTTTCATTTCATTTCAAGACTAGGAGAGAGCTGGGGGCCTGGAGAATGGATGCGCACAGGCTTGATTTGCTAATTCAACATTTGATTGCTTCAGGAAGTCATTTGTCAGCTCATATGCTCCTTTATGTTTCAGAATCATTTTTAGTTGCAAATAACTCTCATTTTCTCCCTTATATACACATGCATACAATCCATCTCTCAGAAATCATCTGCCACATATATCCTGCTTGCTAGAAATAGAAGAGGCCTAATTGAAAGCCTGGGGAACTATTTTTGCCATGCCAAATTCAGCACTTCAGGTGCAGACCAAGCCACCAGTGCATGGTCAATTATCACAGAAATGTTGCTCGATTTCACCTGTAGTGTAATCTTTTGCCGTCATCCACAAAACACCTTATTCATTCTCCCTGAAAACACCTCCTTCTCCCCCTACAGTCTATGCAGCATGTGTTAGGCTGTGACTTCACAAATCCAAGGCCATCAGCACGGGAATGCTGAATGATCTGTGCTTCTAAATACGTATGTTCAAATACACAAAGCTGCATTACATGCTGCCGGTGGTCATGTGGCAGTGCACCCTGCTTGGTTCCTAGGTAGGGGACAGTGCGGTGTTTAATACTGTAGGTCCTCATCCTGCAAAGAGCACATCGAGCTTCACTCTGCATGACTGATCTCACTGATTTCAATGGGGTTACTCACACAATTAAATGTTAATCCTGAGTAAGTACACTGCTGGAGTGGGGCCATGGCTGTTTATGTCGTGTGAGCCACCTATCCTGAAAACTGAATGGCACGGCAAATACCAGATAAATTTTATATAAGAGAGACAGTTTGCTGACCTTTGTGGCCCCACAATTTATGTTCACAGGGCCCTTATCTGTGGTCCACTGTCCTGCTGCTAAGCAATTGTTCTTTGTGTAGCAGCAGTACCACTGAAATGGCTTTTGCTGTACATGCACATTCATTTTTCTGGAAGCCACAATAAGTCTCCTACACAAGTTAGTCTCCTTGTGGATTGCCTGGCTACATTTTTGACATGATGGACAACCCACGATATCAAAACTCCATGTGATTTCACAGTGCTCAGAGCATTGGTCTAGTAACCATTCTTTTTCTTCTCTTCAGCCTTTGATTACTGAGAGAAAAGCCCTCTTCAAATGTCGTTTTCTCCTCACTCCTTCTGTTTCTCAGCCTCAAACCCAGAACTGTTTTTCAGTGAAAGTTTTCTTACAAGTAATACACTTTAAGGCAGAACAAAATCAGTTTTCCAGAGAAAAAAAATATTTTTTTTGTAAAAAAGTTGGCCAGCTATGTCTCTGGCTACTCTAATAATGACCTCAGTTCTTATGGCTTGCAGTTTGTGTTCTTTGCTTTTATTTAATAAAATGTCAAGGGGAATTTTCAAAAGAGATAACAGGTTTAAGATCTGGAATCCTCCAGAAAGTAGGTGGCAGGTGAATATCTGTACTCTTAGAAGTACTTGTCACCCTCTTAATGTACAATACTTTCATTTCTCCCCATCTTTTGTGTCCAATAAAATTCCTCTGTAACCAAGAATCAGTCAGAAATCCATTTTTACCTCACATTGAAAATTTCTGAAAAATGACTTCGATTGTGCTAACTCAAATGTGAACTGCAGCTATAAGGAACAGAGGTAGGAAGGGAAGAATTGCTTTTCCAAGACTTCAGACTACTACCAAGCTTTCCATCTTCATGAAAGAGGGAAGGTATGCCCTACATGAACGTCACTGTCGGGTTTCTTCCTACGATCCCAAGCTAGGAAACCCTTGGGGAGACCCTGCCAGCTGGAAGCAGTGAGGTAGGTGGTGAGTGATACCTTTCACTGTGAGGAGAGTCTCGGTAGGAGTCAGGGGTCTCTCTTGCATGCCGGAGGAAGCTGTTGCCTTCCCGTGGCCCACCAATGCCATTGAGGCGGCCTCGTGGCCCTGTTGGGCTGGTGTGCCTGCTATTTTCTACTGAGGAGCTGACGAGCACGGAGTGGCTTTCGGAGAGAATGCTTTCAGTATGGCCGTTACTCCAGCTGGAGGAAAGGATGAAAAGGGAGCAGTGTGAGATGAGGAGAAGTTTTATCAGGGGAAAGCAAGGATTCTGATGCAGCTCTGGATGTGCAGCACAGCCTTAGGGCTGGTGATTTTTTTTTTAATTATAGGAATCCATGTACACTGACATCATTTTTCATGCATTGGTAAAGGAAAGAAGAAGGGCATTCCTGTCTCCAGTAGTGGAGACTGGTCTTTAAAACAAAAGAGCTGTCACTGACATCGGCATATACTGAAATTAGCCCTAAAAATATTGGAATGGCATTCAGTCAATAAAACACTTTGTGAATTCCTGGGAAGACAATTATCTAGGTCACATGACATAGTCATTAAATGAAAACACTGAAAGTGGATCTTAGATTTTTTCCTTTTTTTTTTTTTTTTCCTTTTTCTTTCTTTTTTCTTTTTAAACATCTTTTCTGTTTCACTGCAACAACAGGTGCTGTTTTACTTTCCAATCTAGTACCTGTGGCTAGGCGTCTGGGTGACTGTCGTGGAGTGATGTGTTGTTGAGGTGTAGTGGCTTGTGGAAAACGAGGTCTCTGTTTCTCGCTCAATGACTCGTTCACTGGAGATTATGTTTTTTGAAACATACTGCTATAAAAAAACAATATACAAATGTCAAGTTTAGAAAATGGAATTTACAGCACATCTTCAGACATATAGTTACATACAGAAGAGCACAAACTTCCTCATCCAAACACAGGCAGAAACTGCACTAACATACTCAAGCACTTTCATGTACACATATCACATCTAAAATCAAAATAGAAGGAAAGAAATAAGAAAATTAGCAAAAGGCTGCATCACAATCAGGCCATAAGCAACATACATATGTAGGAAAGAAATGAGAAATCCTCAAGGATGGAGACCTAGAAAGGTAATCCACACATTGGTACCAGATGTCCGACGGACAAGACAGCAGTAGTTAATTGTTCATTGAACTATAGATGTCTGGGCAAGAAATAGCTATTTTCAGAGCCAATGGCTGCAGCATAAAGAAGCTGGAGGCTCAATCTCCTGAACGAAATGCTTAGAGCCCTACTGATCTCACTAGAGAGGCTATTACTGTAGGGATCTCCATTTTCCTCAAAGTAAATTCCTTGTTTCCCTTCTCTTAAAAATCTGAGCACAAATTTAATTTTTTTTTAAGGGGAAATATTTCAAGCTGTGTTCTTCTAAAAATGTGTCTTGGCCCTAGCTAATACTAGCAGCCTTAACAGAGCCAGGAGCTTGGATGAAGGTTTAGATGCTGAATGGCTCTCTCCACATTGTGCTCTGACAAAAAGCAAGGGGATATTCATGGATTATTGGCCCAAGCCACATATCCCCAGCCTGTGTACTGTCCAGGTGAGGATCTCACTCAGACTTTTACACATGAGGCAGCTTTTTTTCCTAACTCATCACCAACTTTTCCTCTTAAGCTGCTGCAGAAGTTGATAGTGCCAAACTCTTTCCACTCTGTGTAAAAAGCCTTGCATTGCTGTTACACTGGAGTGGAGAACTGGAGTGGGCATCACAACTAGCACCGCTCCCTGGAAACGCACAGTGTTGAGGAGCCTGAAGTGTGAGTTCATATTGTAGATGGCAGTTGCCACGGCACTGGCAAACAAGGCTGAAATGTGAGCAGTAAAACCTACATTCACTAGCTGGACATTGTCTGGTGGTGGGTTGGGGTGGTGAGGCCCATTCGCCATGTTCATCACATTGTTCCTCTCTGAGCGAAGGCTCTGCCGAAGGCGGTCATGCAACTTTTTCCTCTGCTTCCTGTACATAAAACACAGAAATGGCTTTAATAGACAAAAACAAAGCAGCTGCATCTTTCAGCACGATGACGAACAATGATGATAACAATAATATAAATGCTCTTTCTTGCCAGAACTTTCCCCACTACTTCAAGATTTCAGAGTCACTTTGAAGATCACAGCAGTAATTGCAGCTGGAGCTGTGAGGACGTGCAGGAGGGAGAGATGTGTGGGCACCTGTCCAGCAGTCAGCAGGCCACAGGGGCACAGGAAAATGCATGAGGGAGAAAGAGGCCATTTCCAAGCCACGCTCTGTCTCAGGAGAAGCTGCACTCCAAAGGGAAGGAGGAAGGATTTTAATCTCATCACCTTGCCACTGCCTCACAGCCACGATCACGCTTCTGACTGCTCCCTACTACACAGGATAGCCTCCATCTTAGGGGCCTGCCCGTGGCTGACAGCAGTAGTGGCAAGGCATACCAGCAGCCTGCTTTCTGCTTTCTCTTTGGCTTTGCCTTTGTTTCATAGGCAGGCTGACATGTCTAACAGTGGCAAAGTTTAAAAGCATTGCTAAGACCGGGACTAATTTGTGATACTGCAGCTATGTATTTCTTTGTGGAATTCATATCCTTACCCAGACATACTCCTTGCATACAGACATGTTAAAGAAGCCAAGAGGGCAGAGAAAGCCTCAGAAATAGTACCAAGTGAGTTGTTGTATGAGGTACTCTTGAAACTGCAGCCACCCTGGCAACTTCTGGAAAGTTTCATTGCAGCAACATCAGATTAACTCTAGAACCTAGTGATTACCAGGCAGATGCAGGGGTTGTTAATTCAGAATTAAGAGAACCATCAGTATTTTCTGCTTACACCTTAGATCTGATCTTTGGCTGATTCACTCTTATTGTGCCTTATTTTCAGCTGCTCCTTCCCTAGCTGCTGATCTTTTCATCACTCCTCAAAAGAACTTTTCAGGACACCACTGAGCTGACAGTAACAAAACTTGCAGAATACTAAAACCTGGTGCTATGAAGGCTACAAGAATGCACTAAGTACCAAAATAAACGATCAGAGAGAGTGCTATTCAATTTCAGGCTTAATTTATCCCCAGTTTTGCTTGATTATACTGGAGAACTTCCACCATCCTGCCACAGAATCCAGGAAAGTGAAGGGAGGATGCAAGCTTCAATACACTGCAGAGCGCATATGACCTTGGCTGTGGTAAGAGCTGAAATACTCTCAATTCCCTAAGCCATATGCAGAAGTTGCAGATATTTTTGGTGGGATAGGATACTGTAAGACATAAACATTTTCAATCCTGTTTTGAACTCAGGGGATGATTTCAAGTTTCCCAAAAAGGGGGGAAAGCTTGCTGAAGCTTGATAACCAGGGAAGCTTAAAGACAAATAGCTTGACACACTGCATTTTAAATATTCTATGTGTATGTCTGGGTCTGGATAGTAGAAGACATTTGATTTATGTCACTCCACATGAATGGTGTAAGCAGACACAGCTGCCTGGGAAATGTACCTGTCTCAGCAGGACACAGTCTCAGGTCCACGTGGGCTTTGTGTTTGGAGGATAAGTCACAGCTCCCCAGGCATCATGTTAGGATGCACAGGTGGTTAAGATGAATGGGAAATTCACAACAGAGAGGTATCTGAGCAGTTACCGAAAGGCCAGCATGGGCTGAGAAGTTGCAAAGACGAGTTTAACTTCATTTCACAGGACCCTTTAATGGTACCTTGGAGCTGTGTTGAAGGTACCTGAGGATGACCTAAGTCCCCTGAGTTGGTAGATAAAATGAGTTTTTGAGGGAGTTTCATTTCAGTGTCTATGGGGCTGATATCCTGGCACTTACTGCTTTGGAATCTACCCCTGTAATGTATCCACGTTACTTCCCAATTTCAGTGATCATTATATTTTCATTTTGTGGACTTTCATGTGTGTCATTTGTCCGTTAGTAGAAGAACACTAACTAAAAAAACCATATTCCTCCAGGAAACTGAGGAGAAAGAACAACAAGAATGCTAATATGTGCTTCACTAATTCTGAAGAGCCTTTCCTAATGCAAATGACTTGCAAACAAAGCTTTTCTGAATTGAGACTCCGTGCCAGAATATGTTGCCTTAGCATTTGACCAGTAGCATCTCTTGCAAGGAGACCTACAAAACTGAAGCCATTTAATTTTATTTGATATGTTTTCCTGACACCATCCCAGGATTTCTACTAGGTTTTTGTCTACCAGGAAGAAACAGCCTGTGGGGAACATCTAACTGATAGCAGTCTGGTATCAACAGTGCACTTGGAGGACCATGAATGGCAACTCACTTTCATTCTAACCAGCTGTGTTTGAAAACACTTCAATTTTGGCTAGCAGTCATTGCTGATATCTGCGACTGACTGTGACACAGCATCCACTATGGGGATATTTTGTATAGAAAACTGTATGTGATTAAATGTTTATTTAAAGCCATGGAGATGCCTTAGTTGATTTCAATGAACTTTGGATTGCAAAATGTTTTGTTTAGCTGCCCTGGTTTGGCTGTTGCCATTTCTAAAATGAGTAATTGATCTGATTCTTTATTTATGTTCAGTGGTTCTCAGTTCCCAGTTGACCATTGGCGCAAAGGTTGTGGGTAGGTGCTACATGTGTGTAGCTGCACTCACTGGAGGGGCAAATGATCTCCCCCAACCCAGGCTTTTAACACATCCATTACTGGTAGACTTTGCAAGGAAAACAAAAACCCAGTTGCTAGTCAGGCCTTGCAACAGTAAATCTACATGCGTATACAAATGATAAGGGTTTTCTATGTTTTGGTGTGAAGATTTATAACAGCAATCAGAAGTTTTGGCAGCACAAATCCTGCTGATGTTTAGTATAATTTATGGTCCACAATTTCTTGTGCATGTTCAAGAGTCACCCCCAGTAATTCAAGAGACTCAAGGAATGCATTAAAGCATCTACTTTTTCACTGGGAGCACTTTCACACTCGGTTCTTTGGCCTTTGCTGTTTAGTAACTCCTAGCACTGTTAATCTTGTTAGTGAGTATAAACAAACTAGGCTGATCTTTAAAATTTACTGCTGGCTAGCAACATGATTCCACTGTTGGAGTTTGCTCCCATCCAGCCAGGAATAAACACGAGTGCATGATAAATGAATTGCAAGTTGATGAATCACATATGAATGGTGAGAGATCTTTCAGATACCTGTCTTATTTTTGCATTGCTGATTGACATGGAGAGCTGCACCCTCCTTGTTTGAACCATAGATCCCTGATCACTGGGCTGTCTCTTCAGTTCAACTCTGGAAGAGCCCAGTTAAAACCTTATGCTCAGAGAAGTAGAAGCTACAGTCAACAGAGAAGCCCTGATCAACAACCGTAGGTATAAAAAAGAAAAGTTTACTTGGTTTTGCAGTAGGCCACCACACACATGATGCCAACTACTAGAAGAGCAATGCAAATGCCAGTTATGGTCAGCACCCGTTTCTGGTACAGTTCCTCAGCTTCTAGAAAGGGACAAAAACAGAGAAGGTCACAACATGGAGGATGGCCTGGCAAGGAACACATTGTCAACAGCTGACATGCTACATACCACTGCACAGATTCACACAGCCACACCAAAACACATCTACCACACTTCAGGCAAACTCATTATTGACTGCAAGGAGAACAGGACTACACTGTAAGTTCTTACACAATATGAGGGATGAGTGATCATCCATAAAATTACAGTCAAAAGTAATCTCTTTTTGTTTAAGTCAACAAGAATAATACGTAAGAGAAAACATCACAGTTGACAAACACTCAGCATTTGCTGGAATTAAGAATGCAACACGCTAATGTAATAACATAAATCTGCAAATGCTTAGGAAGTTTTGCTCTGCAAAGACAACTGAAATGAAGGCCAGTTTATAGACCTTTTAGATGAATTTATTTTCCTGCTATCTTTTTTGGACTGCTTTCATATCCAATATCCCTCTGCCCCCATGCCAACTGGTATCTCAGTTGTCTTTGCAGGAGAGATTTCAAAATATCCTTCTACATTTGAGACTTGAGCTTGGCTTGTAATCATATTACCATTGGAAATGAATATATATTTTGAGCTCTGGTCTTAAGTTTCTCCCATACCCCTCAAAAAACAGCAGTATCAGGAACAAAATCTGTCTTGTATCAGAGAAATGTTGCATTTTAACTTGCATCTCTTCATGGCTAGCTAATGAACTGCTCTATCTAGAGTGGCAACTTGCTCAGCGATGAGAGCTTCTTGCTGATCTCATTCATGAGACATATTTTAGTACTATAAAGATGTTAGTAGCACCAGTAACGTTTGGATTGGATCTACTCTTGCATTCCAGCCTTGATCACTCTTGGCAGAGAGCATCAGTGAGTATTGTACAGGGGAAACATTACATAAGATGTTCTGAAATGGAGACATGCATTCTGTGATGACACGAGACAGCTTTTATGAATGCAAATTTGCATTCCTGTTTTTAGCAGAAAATTGTGTATCTGGCTTGGGTTTTTCTCAAATCTTATTTTTGACAGTCCCAAAAACCTGCCCTGGAAAATTTGGTCTGGCATTAGGTCAGACTGCAGCACTGACCACAGTTAGAACACCAACAGGTGATCACAAATAAATGAACAAATAAAAGCCACACAGCTCCACATGGGGATAAAAGTCAGTATTACTCCTACCCAGAGGGACTTAACAAGAACAATAACATAACAAGAACAAGAACATAAAATCTGTGGGACAATTCACAGGTGCTACAAAGAAGTAACATGCTCTACATGCTGGTCCCTCACACATATTGTGAATCTCTGTCCAAGTTCAGCATCTCTTAAATGCCGACCCGAAAAAAGCTTAAAGGAGTTTGGAGATAAAACATTACGGAATATAATTCATCTCAGAAATGAAAAATGTACCAGCAAAAGAAGGTACCTCTCCTGTCAGCTTAGGAGAAAACCCTCTTCACTGTGGAGGGAATATTCATTCTACCAGAGTGTATCCTGTCCTTATTTAGTTCAGTTTAAAAATTATAGGCACAAAGGTGCAAAGAGCTCCGGACTAGGATTTGTGACAGCTTACAGGACCACATCTATTTTCCTTTCTGGGAAAGAAGGGAGGTCAGGGTACTGTGACTCTGAGCAGGAACAGCAAGGGGTTAAAATCCTGGAATTTGTGTGGAGTTTAATAAATATAATAAAGGTGATTGCCATCTATCCGAGCTGCTATGATGGCAGTGGGATTGCTGAAGCTTTTGTTTCAGAAATGTGGTTACTGTAACTAACTTATCTAAAATAACTGTTAATTTAATAAATTTAATAAATTTAATAATTTAATTTAATAAATGTTTTGGCCAACTGTTGTTGCATGGCTAGGTGCCAGCACAGATACTACCCAACATCCAGAGCTGAGATTTTCAAAAGATCAGCTGAGCATTAGCCTTCCAAGATTTTCCAGTCTCAAAGCAGCTACTCACTGCTGAGACTCAGGACAGATGGCAAATCTTCCATGCAACAAATCACCAAGTAAGAAGAAATCTTCATTTCTCTGATACAATACATCTTCCCATAGAAATAATTCTTCCTACAAGCCAAGCCCACTGAAGACCAAAACACCAGCAAACAAGTCATGAGCACTGTCAGACAAAATTAATAGCATTGATTATTAACAAGGGAGTGGGGAGAAGAAGTGAGTTTGGTAAAACTAGGATGCTGCAAAAATGTATTAAAGAAAAAAAATAATAACTCCAAGAACAGAAAGTCAAAAAAGGGAGGGAGGAAAAGGCTGAATATCCAAATCAAATGTGGACAAAAAGAGGAAGGGGAAAAACAGGGAAAGACAAGGTTAAAGGGTTGAGAAATCAACTGCAGGCCTGGCATAGCATGCTTGATACTGGAAAAAAGAGTGAAGAAATGCTCAGGGACAAAAAAAAAAAAAAAAAAAAAAAGCTGAAGCAGAGTCTGAAGGGATTTCTCATACAGCATAACTTCTCACCTAGGCTAGTTAGTGGCACTTGATCCCCTTCCCATTTATGCCCCTTTTGAAAGCGCTTATTAGTTAGCCATGGAAATGGTGTATTACAAGGATGTCACAGGAAACAGGAGAATTGCACTAAGCAATTTACGGGCAAATATGAAATGCTTTGAAGCTACTTTTTCTTTTTTTTTCTTTTTTGTCAGCCGTTAGCTTCTGAAAGCAAAATGAATAAATACATTTCAACCCATTTTCCTCTGATGGGAAGGGAGAGGAGAAAGATTAAGTAAACAGTGGAAAGTCTGCTTGGTTGTTTATACTGGGGATAAACTGCACTGACTCAGGTGGATTACTGCAAGCGAAGGCTGTTGCAAACAAGCTGGTTATCACCTTGCTAATGCTGTCAGTGGGCTGAGGCTTGCTGCACGTGTGAACTCTCCTGGGCTTGCATGGAAGGAGGGTGCAGTGAGCTGTGGGTAAAGCTGTGAGTGATGCTTCTTGTACTGCCATATCTGTGGGTTTGTGGGTTTCTGAGGACCTGCTTTAAAGGGCCAAATCCCACACCTGTCAGAGCCAGGACAACCTAGCCAAGTGGGAAACACATGAGCAGCTCTGCTGCCATGCGCTCCCCAGAATGGGAGGAGAAGCGGATCCCCAGAAAGGCTGGCAGCTCTGGGGGCCTGGCAGAGCTCAGTCTTCTCCAAGCATTCCTGAGTGTCTCTAGCAGTGGCACCCACAGCCCAGAAGCCTGAGTAGGCCTCTTGAATTATTCTATGATTCCATGGTTCTAAGACCTGAAGATATTAAATCCCTCTACGTGCAGCCCTTCAAACATACTCATTATGTAACTAATTTTACTTCGCCCTAGTTTATATATAATTGATAATGTCTTAAATTTGCTATGTTTTAAAACTTTTCTTTTTACAGGTCTCTAGTGTTGGTTTTCATTTTTCTTTTAATTTTTAAAGATTTCAGTTCCAAGAGATGTTTCCACTGGTATTGAAAGCAAGGTTTGCAAGTTAGTTTTTTTTTTTAAGGATTTTAATATAATTTCTCATATGTTAATGTAGCCTTGTGTCTTCTAATGCAATTTAGTATTTATGACTTAGAATTAATATTATCTTGTGATAATAATAATAAACTGGCTTGTGAGAGATTGTCTAAATTTAGATTTGTTATGGTTTCTCCATAGTTCACAGCTAAAGCTAATGACAGTTTATGTGGACACTGTTAATAAGAACATGAACTAAAACTGTATGAATACTATCAGTGCTTAGTTCTTCTCACTTGCCAATAGTTTTAGGAGACTACATGCTATATCTGACCTGAATTCCAAGAGTTAGCCTGTTAAAGAGATGCATTATTCACATTCCTGCTCACTAAATGTTAGTGGGATAAGTACAGTCGCTTCATAAAGAGGTCCTAAAGATGTGTTTTCATTCTGTTTAAGGCGTATCACAATAATACTACCCACTGCCAAAGTTCTTGGTTTGGTGCAATTGTTGACTTTGTTATAAATAATACTGAACATATCTGCTGATTTCAGGATCTGTTTACCTCCTGTAAACCTTCATTTAAGCTCCTAAATAACTTTCAGTTCAGTGCTTATTTACAGACCTAGAAATATATGTATACATGCATATCATTCACACTTGTGTATATACATCCTATTTACATATCTAGTTGTGTGTTTACACATAAAATTTTCCTTGGAAACCAGAGCTCAAAGCTGTTAATTTGCAGAATTTTAAGTGCCTATAACAGTATATCCTTTTTTATAGACTAGTTAGTCACTTTGCTTAATGCTTTCAGTGTTTCTGAAATCAGGCAACTGTAGAAGAACTCAGCAAAAGCAAATATCAAAACTAGTCAAAAATACATTGCAGAAAAATGAATGTACACTGTGCTAAAGTTACTTCAGTAATTCCAGGATCTCCTTAGATCTGGAATATCCTATTACAATTTTAGTGAACTGATCTCCACTAACATTTTGATAAGGGCTGTTGTTATAGCTGTATGATCCCTTCCAAAGCATAAAGAAATTGGTTAAGAATTGAAAAGGGGAGGTGGAAGGAAAAAAAAAAAGGAACAAAACAGGTTTTATCTCTCAGGCTCTAAAATCTGCAGGCTATAAGGAATTATTGGTCCATACCCATAAATTCAATCCCAAGATGCTCTGCCAATGCAGAAAGTTGACAAAAAAAAAAGAAAGAAAAAGGAAAAAGTTTCAGAAAAGAGCAATACACTGTACTCAAAAAACAAATCACATATTAGTAATATGGCTTTTCTGTGTCTGCATATGAAACAGGACAAAGGGGCATGTGGTCAAATGGGCAGTGCTTGTGAGTCCTTGTGAGCTACATGACCAGAGCTTCTGTAAAACTTACACACCAAAATGTGTATAGGGTATATAAACAGCCACAGTGTAGTGAACACAGTGGGAACCATTAACCCTTAAAGATTTTACTGAGATGAAGGGAGCTGTTGCTCAAGAATGCCATGTGAAATGGCTGGGTGTTTTCAGATGGGAGCATTAGGGCACAGAGCGGCTTACAAAGAGCAGTGTTCCCTGGCAGATGGGCTGTGTGCAGCCTCTGTCCCTGCTCTCGTCCCTCTTGTGTGGTTCCTTGCTCTTGTCAGTCGCTGCCCTGAGGTGTCGGGGATCACTTGCTGGGAAGCAGGACCCCTTCTCAACATTGCAAACTGACTTCAGCAGGGTTCTTATCTCTGGAAGAAAAGGAGCCAGTTCCTTTTCCTTGCCTTCATCAGAATAACCCAGTGGCTGGCTGCATGACCCCAAGGGTGCAGGGGCTATTGCAGTTTCGACCAGAACACCAACATTAGCACTCCCACATCCTGGTACTTCCATCCTCCATGTGCCCTAGGAGATCCTTCCCATGGGTCCAGCTCCATAACCATAGCAGTTCTCATTTACTTTGTCTTTGAATGCGGTGCAATTTAAATTCAATCCTAATTATCTGATCAAACGGATTTTTGTACACATCAAGAATGCCAATTCTTTCCTGCCAATCAGTAATATTTTAAGGGTTAAGTAAGCTGGAATCCACCCAAGTCTCTTCCTAAAGAGCCATTTTTACATGCCTACATGAACACTGCTAATGATATACATTAGTTACATAGAAAGCTTGGTTAAGTCTTTGATAAAATGAATGACATGCCCATGCATATATATTGCTGTATTTATGCTTACTTATACATAAAACTCCTTGCCTGGATGTAATTTAATTTGGGGGGAAGTCATTCATATCATGCAGTTTCTATTTGAAATTATTCAACAAGAAATTGGTACTTAGAATGGGAATATATTCTGGCTGAAAGCCCTAATGAGAAAACATGCTGAAGAAACATGCATCACTTATTCAAACCTAGATATAAAATAGCTCTTATTTATCTTTGTTATCCCTAGCTACATTGCCTAGACATGATTAAAAGAAAGCAGAATATCCCAGCAGTTCTTGTTTTATAAACAGGTCATCACTTTTGATTTTTTCCTATTTAAACCAATATTGCTACATACTTATTAGATGCAATGTGTTTTTTATCCAATATTTGTCCATGTGCGCTAAAATGGAATGCAATTAATTATTTTTAACTAATTGTTTTTTATTTCAGATGCAATTTTTTTGTGGAGCAGAATTGGAAGGGATAAAGCTCGGAATGCAGGTTTTTCCAATTAAGTGACTTAGTACTGCAGCTCACTGGATATACTGGTGTCTAGTGCCTGCAGAACATGATGCCAGGAAATGCTGCAGTATACAGGTTTTCTACAACTGCATGCTGCATTCATGACAGCAGTGCCACAGTCACTAGGCAGTCATGATTTTGGAGTGGCCATCCCACAGAATTAGGAGCTTGGTAGCCTCGGACATAGGGAGGGCTGTGTGAAGGCACTGCACCTGACAGTGGGACCGGACCATTTGGATCAACTTCATGTAGCTGCAGAGTTCTGAGAAATATTGAACTTGCAGAACGGCAAAAAAATGGACTTATGAAAGTCTGTAGTTAATGTAGAAAGACTGAAAAAATGACAATGCTATAGTCATCCCTCCAGAATATCGTTTTATTGAACTTTTGCCTTATTCCTCCTTTAATTTCTCAGCCAAATACATCCTGAGAGTATGTGGGAGAGCTATCTAAAAGGAATTTCCCACTGACACTCTTGAGACTGCCCTCTTGCTCACTAAACATGGCAGATCTGAAATGATCACAAATTAAACTGGTGTCTCATGCCGAAATGCTTGCCTTCAGGAATACAGGCACTTCAGGAATACAGGCACTACATTCAATTAACTCTTGAGACTGCCTGTAGTATGTGCAAGTTGTTCTATATCCACAATACATATAAAAATATTAGCCAGTGAAGAAACAAGCCACCAAGACTTTGAATAAGATCCTTGGCCCATCTAAGTTGTTCAAAAAGACAAACAGTTTACCTGTGGTTACGCTCTAAAGAAGTGCCTTCAGCTTTTTATTAATCCAAGGCTCTGCTGTGTTACTTAGTCCAAAGATTGTTCTGCATTACTGAGTTGGTATAAGAGCTCTCATCCATAGCTACAGAAAAAGTAGCTTGAACTTTTAAGACTAATTATTATTTCTGTTTTCCTACACTTACTTTACCTCTTGGTCTTCAAGCAAGTGAACGTGTGAACATTAAAACACAGCAAGTACATCTACATGGAACAGGTATTTCTGTAACACTTCCATGGGCTATCTTCTTATATTTTACAGAATGTTGATGGACCATGAACCTTCAAGTCAAAACCACTGCAGCAAAAAGCCTTCTGGTGTTCTTGTATCTTCTCACATTTCTGAGTGCAGCACAAACTCCTGGCCAACAGTCTTAACTTGTTGGAATTTACCACCTACTATGTATCTCTCACATACGCCCTTCCTCACTGGAAAAGCTTTTGGGGAAAGTATCTGGTAGGAAGTGCAACTACTATGCTCAAGGAAAGGATGTTAGAGGGTCTACCAAACAAGCTTCCAGAATGAGCAAAACTAAGACTGTTTGTTCTTGATTTTCCTTTTGTTTGCAGTGGTGGGAAGTATCAGGAGAGCAACTGTGTAGCTGCAGTGCTGAAGATGATTTTGTCACTGAGGACCCTAACAGCCATCACTTCTTGGCTGTAACAGGACGTCCTACAGTTTTGCAAAGCTGGAAGCCAAGGTACAGTCAATATACACATGTGCCTTTCAGTAGTCTCCATCACATAAGCTGTGCTTAAATTTCCACTGTCAAAAAGGAAAGTCATTTCTATTGGGGGAAGTTTTCTTAAAAGGGAGGTCCAGCAAATATCCTGTATTTTGTATTTTGTATTTTGACCTGTTTTTAGTGCACATGACAACTACCTACTCAAGGGCTAAGGAAATCACTGACAAGATAAACCACTGAGTTTTACACCCTCTTGGGGCTGGGGATTTTCAAAATGTTGAGCATCAGCTCAGTTCTGATCTTGCAAAAGGCCTTCTGCAAATAACTTTAGGACTCTTCAGGATCCTATAGCAGACTTTGGAAGCTAGCTTATTCTCAACAGCCTTAAGCTAGCGACAGTTTACCAGCAGGCATACTTGCATGGAAATAACTTCTTTCTAAACAAAAAGAAGATCCTGCTTAAATCAATAATGACTAATGTCACTTTATAGGTAGGCATATACATTTTTGTTTACTCCTGGCCCCGATTTGCTCAGCAATTTGCAAAAGCTGCATCAACAGAACTAAATTAAATCAATAACCTGCAACACTTGGTGCAAAATATGAAAGCCTGCTTTTCAGCTCCAACTTTTGCCTGAAGAGAACTTCCAATAAAATCCCCTTAGATTGTATACTCTGTGCTATATTCTTGCACCTCTGCATTGGGTGCAACAGTAAGAATGCTTCCTTACTGATTTTCTTCTGGTCAAATATAAACGTGTCTTCACTAGATCCTACCCAAAAATATCATTTTAAGATTAGTAGCAACTTAGGAAATCTGAAGTTATAATGCAGATGCACTGTAGACTTTAGTGGCAGAGTCCAACAGTAATTTCCTGACGTTCTCAGACTATTACAGGATATGTCTTTGCATGCTCTTTTGCCAGTGCATTTCAAGGAAAGCTGTACTGGACTGGCCTACATACATACGTTCCTGCTGCAAGGCAAGGGCATCTATGCCTTTATCATGTAGGCAACTTCAGAAAATCTCAGGTTGGTGTCAGTTACCCAAAGATGCCTTTAAAAATCTCCATCAGTTTAAGGAATCTGAAAAACTAAGGAGGATGGAAAATACCTCTCTCTTTCTCACACACACACACACTCTTTTCTGGGTGGGGAAATAAGTCTACCATATAGTTCTTCCACAGTTTTCAGGACAGATTTATCAGCAAATAATGGATCTTATACTGCATCTCTTTTTTCTGGTTCTTCTACAATGGAGAAAAATTTAACTGTACTTTTCATTGCAATACACAGAAAAGACCATGTAAATCTAAAACATGGTAAACTTAAACACTGCAATAGCATAAAAATTTTTAAATCCATAGTTACCAGAGATATTTTAAAAATAACTCACACTAATAAAGCATTTAAAACTGAGGGATAAAATACAGACTTCAATGTTGGAAGGTCGGGTCTCCAGTCAGCGCCCTTGGGATTTACATGGGTAGCTTCCATGATGGGTAGTATGAATTATGAATGGACATTTTTCATCCATCAGTATAAGAGAAAACCTATGCATCTCTTCAGGCTCCAAAATGTCCAGCATCTGCTAACAGCTTTTAGTTCTATGTACTAATGGAAATTAAATTAAGCTATCCTGTAGTCTTTGAAATCTTTCCATGCTGGCATGCAATCTATCAAAAAATATTTCTTAAAATAGTGATCTTAGATCATAGTACATTCTGATGCCAATGACAATTAATTATAAAAAGTACTCATGCATTAAAATGTAAGATTTAGGCAATTTTCTTATGTGTTACCTTTGACTTCATTATAGCCAATAAGACAATAAATGTTCAGTACTTTCTGTTTCCTCACTGACAATTAATAACGATTAATTCATTTCTCCATGGGAAAACTTCTAAGATGTGACTGCAGTGCTGATCCTACCAGTGGTCTGATACAGACTCGTCTGTGTGTGTGTGTGCTTCACTTATTTAGCCAATTAATCTGGCTCTGAAATACTCAATCTCTTGCACCTGTTACCCACAAATAAATACGTCAGTTCCCATTGTTTGTGCCATCTCTCCTCCTTTTCTTCTTTCTTCTGTGCTCTCTTTGCCTCGAAATTTGGACAATGAGAAGAAAGAACACTTTGATCCTGTTCAGAATGTGCTTCTTAGAAATGATGTAAGCATATCAATTACCTTTTACTTGTTGTTCTGAATATGAAACTCATATATAAATAGTTCATCTACCTATCTCTTTACTGAGTGAGTACTGCTCTATAAAAAGTTTCATAAGATTTTTTGTGGCAAATAAAATGACTTTCAATATGTCATTTTGCACTTTATCTGCTTGATGTCAGTGGGATGTATACACCACACCATTCAGTGTTAATTTCATAGCGTTCCTTAGTTTTGCATTTCCCCATAACCTCAATGCCAAACAATCCAGGAGAGTACTGCAATTGCTTTTCGTTACCATGTTCATGCAACAAGCAGAGACGATCAATATTAGGCCTTAGGCAATAAATCTAGTTAAGGATTAAAAAAAAAACTGGAGGAAAGATGCAGCGACAAGAAAGCAGCACCGATTGAGCATGCGTCTACTGCGGCACAGACAGAAAGGTAGTGGACGTACTGTAGAAGCTGGCCATTACGTAGTTTTGGCAGCGATCACCAGTAAATTCATTTGGGCACCTGAGAGGAAAAACAAACAAAAAAAAAAAATGGTAGAGAAAAAAACAGAGAAAAGAGAAGAGGTGAATATATGCTAAGAAAGAAGCTCCGTCAGTGTGAACTGATACGACTTGGTGAGTTCACTTTCAGAAACCGTATCTCGGTTTAGCGTGTTAAAATGGCTCAAGATGTTGAGAGCAACTCATTTGCTCTGTGGAAATGAAACAGAAATCCCCCCCGAAAAAAAAAAAAAAAAAAAAGCCAAAACCAAACCAATCCAGATCAAAGTGTGTTTCGAGATGTGAGAGAGAAATTCACCACTTCAAATTCCCAAATTGCTTTTAGGATGCACTTTCCACAAGGCAGCGAGGACACAAGATCTGTACATCACTCATCTCCGTGAGTTTGTTCTTTTAGAGTAGCACTTTACAGCAGTCTCCCAAACAAGAAAGCTGCCAGTGTGTGCAATACAAATGCATCTGCAAATGAATGGAAAGATCAAAAACCACATAAATGAGAAACATTTTGGAGGTCAATAATGCCATGGTGTACAGATTTTACTTTAGAAAATCAGGTCGTAAATTAGTGCGTAAAGAGGCCGGTTCCAGCTGAACTGTGAAAACACCAAGTACTATTGATTTTGTTGCTGTAGTTGGGGAAGAAAGCAAAGTTCAGATTATTTTAACATACTTTCTTGGTTTTGGATTTTCATGGGCAGAGTTTCAGTACATCTTGCTCCAGTGAATCCAGGTTGGCACCTAAAGGGCAAAAACGTGATAAGCAATAGTACACCAAAAGCACTGCACTAACAGACTGACATCTGCTGGCCTACGGAGATGGTAGTGCACTAAGTGACCTCCTGGTTAGGTGTTAGTGAATAATGGTCAGAAAAGGGGAAAGAAGGAGTAATCTTTCCGAAGATAATACTTCACAAATTAAAAATCCACCACAGAAAAACACAGGAAGTCTTTTTGTTTGCCTGTTTCAAAAAAGAAGGAAGAATCAGGCCTAGCAAAAGCGTTTATCATCTCATTGCTTATTCCACCTCATGAAGAGACCAGATATTTTAAAATTTGCAATGCAGTGTACAGCGGCAATTTACACTGTTGCAGTCACACAGAATCTATGAAAATACCATGATTTCCCTATTTCTGTAATGAGATGTTGTGTCTTCAAGTAGTTTCCTTAAAAGGAGACTAGATAGAACAGCAATCACGAAAAGCAAAAAAAAAAAAAAAAAGGAAAAAGGGAGGAGAACCTGAAACCCAAAGGCAAAAGTATCTTAAGTATCTTTAACATGGCTGATATATGGAGAATGAGTCAGTCTGGTCAGAAAATCTGGAGATCCACAGCTGCCCACCCTTTCAGTTCACACGGTCTTCTGTGGAAGACTTCACTGCGGGTCACCACATGTCTATAAAGAATGAATTTCTCTTCCATGTTTTTTTTTATCTTCCCCTTTTGCTAACGGCTGTCAATTCTTTCTTCACCTTTCTTTATTCTTGATTCTGTGCTGGAGCTCAGCAGTTTTCCCTCAAAATATTAGCATACCAATCCAAGCCACTGTACTTCTTATATAAATCTGGATGACTCTCCGCCACATTAAACGTATAAGAACTTCAGTCTTCCTGCTTTCTTCTTCTTCAATGCACTCTTACTTTGCGTATAGTCTTAACTGACCTGCCACCTACTTCTTTGAATCCATCTTAACTTGCATTGTCCATCTTTCTGAGAATCTCCATGAGTTTTGCCATGGTGCAAGAATCTCCTGTTGATGCTGATCAGATGCTAGCTTCCATTTCAAGCTACCTTATCATCTACTTTTCAGGGGCCTCTTATTTGAAAATGAAAGTTTTTCAGAATGATCCTGTGCCTCTTCCATCCATCAGAGCTTCCTGTCCCCTGAGGTCAGGCTTGGTTTTTTAGGCTTTACCTTCAGCAGTTTCTTCTAGTCCTAAGAATCAAGATATTGTACAGACAGGACTCCAGAAAAGCACTGTGGCAGTGATCAGTGTCAGGCATTATCACTAGTTTCTTATTCAATAAACAATGCAGGAATTACCTTGGTATAATAAAAAAATTGGAGATCTGTAGGTGATTACTTGGAGATGATTTGCTGTAAAGATACACTGGTTTATTAAGGAAGGGCATTTATTATCCTCAGAGTCAAGATCCTATCTTCTTATAAGCATTCAGTGTAGAGAGATCCAAGTCTCCACAGATGTATTCAGATGAGAAAAATGCAACAAAGATAATTCTATCATGAGAAATAAATACTGCTGGGCACAACAAAAGACTGCATTTTGATCTGTGTTACTGAAAAAGAGTGAAAATGTTCCATCCCCTTAATTTCTATTATTTTATTTTGCACGTTTAATTAAATACTTGTCCTTGATAGCTGGCATTTACACATAAATTGACATTTATTTCAAAGTGACATCTCCATCTTCTTCTCCAGGCCCAACCCTACAAAACTCCAATGAGCACGCAGCTGATTAAAAGTCTCAAGATTACTTCTGGCCGCTGGCTGGTGTTTGCTTGTTGGGCCTGTATCAAGCTATTGAGACTGCTGATTTATGATACAAAGTGGGTGGTGTCACAAGTAGATTAAAATAATTTTTCTTTTCCTCTATATTAAGTATTTAAAAGGAACACATCAAGCACATTTCATCAGTGTTTTTTGGCAGGGGGGGAAAGGCTGAACGGGTCAGAACTTAGTGTTTCTGTTTCACTAACTGCCTGTAAGCAAAAGCACTGTAGGATTGTGGTTTTTCAAGGTGCAATTAGTAGTTCATTTCATAGTTTATATCAAAACTAGTACTTCCATTGTATTTTTTAAATGAGTAGCTTTAAAATTTTTGTTAGCATCATTGAAACATTTTTGCTCTTTTTGCATTTTCAAGAACTTTATGTCAACTCCATCACAGCCTTTGCCTGAATATGAGTACAGCAACCGGCTATATCATGAACAAACATGTAATTCACTCTTCTGCTGTTAAGACATACAGCAGCATTATCACAAAATATTATTTTCATCCAGTGAAATCAGGAAATAAATTAATTTCTTCATCAATAGAAAAAGCAGTAGAAAAGATGATCTCTGCTAGTAAGGAATCAATTAGTCAGACCAGCGAGGACTTCATGGGAGAAATCTTCAAAAGAACACTCTAAAAGCGTAACAAATAGTATATTCATATATGTTTTTCTTCAGATAAGAAGTAAATGCTGGGAACTCTGGTCTTAATTTTACATTTACAGAAGAAGCTGTCTCAGTGTTTGTCCTCAGAAGACTTGAGGACACACTCCCAGCTGGACAGAAACGATGAAAGAACCTCAGCAACACCACTAACATTCAGGCTTCCAAGTCTGTACCATTTTCAAAACGTGACTTGTGTTCCCACGAAACATCTGAAAGTTTTATACATTAATAAGCCTCAAAGCTTATTTTATCATATTTCATATTTTGGGATTGCTTTGTTCAGCCTAGGATCATAATGTTAAAAAATATAGGAAACATATTTGTAACCACAGATGTAGCTGTACAATGCATTATTAAGCCTTTACACATTTATTATTTCACCTAGCTATCTCTTAAATGTGTTGAATTTCCTTGAAGCTCACATCAGTATCCATGAGATCAAGATCTAATTCATACTAGATCACTATATGCATATTTTACTAAAAACATTTTTTGAATGCATAGGTCTAGATTCTAAGAGAAGTTGGACTTAGGAGGTCCATTTTTTAAAAATAGAATAGAAAAGTTTACAAAACCAGAGATATCACTTGGAAAATTCCATGGTTGTTGTGATTCTGAGTCATGTTTTTTTGGTTAGGGATAAAACCAATTTAGAATGATATGGCTCATGCTTTAGAAATTTTGTTTTTGCTCTCAACAGATGGACCATATGGAAAAATGTGAACTTGCTACTGAGGCAGAAATATGAAGAGCAAGTACCATATTTCAAGCATTCTGTTTCCACAGGCATGTTCTGAGGGAAGATTTACTTTCTCAGAACAATGAAGGCAATGTGTACTGGATAGATACTTATTTTAATTAACACTGGAATACTGGAATTAAAAGTAGACATCTGTATTTTCAATGAAACAAGAAGAGAACCGTATTTCGTCTCTTCAGTTTCCCAGTACTCCCACTTTCAAATACTTACACTTTCATTTCTTATATTGCAGCATTGCATCCTGTTTCGCTACGCAACATAAAGTTTCAGTTCTGGCAATTATTAGAGGGCATAGCAAAATGCCAGCAAAATAGCAGTGGCCCTAACTGTCCTCAGGATAAGAATCCTATTCTACTGTTTTACTATAAATGAGATTCACCCCTTCTGATTTTACAGCTCTGATGCTTTTTCCAAATAGGCCTTGGGCCACCCAGAGAGAGGCACATCTGCCAAATTTAGGAATTGCCTTTTCTTTCAACTCAAACCCAGAATTAAGGGTTATTTCTTGTGTACAAGAGGGAGAAAATCCTCTTTCCACTGAAATGCCTCTGAGACAGTATGTTAGAAAAATTTAGCCGTATCACAGAACAAACAAAGACAAATCTCTGAATATATATTAAGAAGAAAAACAACACACCAAAAAACTTTCCTAAACAACTGAAAATTGTCAAGATAATGCTAATTAGTAGCAAATCTGGTAGATGCTGAGCTCTGCTGCCCTGGATTTTCTTGAGTGGTGTTAAGACAGAAAGTAGAAACAAGCAGGTAGGCTCTGGTACATACCCAGAAGAACCACATCACACTGCTCATCTTGTCCTGTTGATGTGACACAATCAAGAGTACATCAACACAACCTTTTTTTCTCTCTGCTATCCAGTCCACCAGAGCTAGTAACTGTTCCGTATTCACTTTAGCTAAAAACTATTTTAAAATCAATGAAATATTCATCACTTTTGGCAATGGCGCAATCCGTGAAAGCCAAAGCAAAACAAAGCTCATAAAGTCCAGAAAACATCAATCTATAAAACAAACAAGAACTTACATGTGAAGCAAACATCATAGATTATTATTATTATAACAGTGCCATGCAACCTATGGCTTTCTCACCTAATGAAAGCATCACAGACCTTCTGGTAACTCACCTATCAGAATCTTCTTTCCAAGTACTGTCATTTGATTTTTAGTCAAGGATGTCTGAAATTCTATGCAGTTACAGCAGACAAAAGATTCTACTGAAAGCTGTCTCTTGTCTGAAAAGCTGCAATATCTTCACAAAAGTGCCCACTTTCCAGTCAGTCCTGATAGACCTAAGATATTAGATGCTGATTTCCCTCTGAAGTCAGAGAGAAGCAGTAACATGCTAAGACTGATTTATCTCCAAAAGTAAATACTACATGATGTGCTACCAGGCAGGAAGTGTATACTCCAGCACTGTACTTCTCACTAGAACCTTTCCAAACTAATGGGTCACTGCAACAGCCTTTTACAGAGCAGGCCAGACCTTGAGAAGAAATGCACAAGCACATACAGTTTATGTTCCTAAGATTGCTTGAATCAAAATCCTCATATGAAGTAGTAACTTCCACAAACTGCCAGAACATTTTTTCTTTTTATGCATTTGACACAACAGTGAAAACTCCAATTGAGAATACATTCTTATCAGAAAATGTTCAGTTATTAGAGCAGACAATAAACATAAACCACTTTTTGTCCTGTAGAAAGAGCACTTATCTGATGCACACATTTTTTGACTTTGTAGTGTATTTAGTTTACAGCATCTTTTCATTATATCTAATGTTACAAACTTAAATTGTGTTACTTCATGCCAGGTATACATCAATAAGGCTTGCTGTGCCTTTTAACCCATGGGAAGATTACTTGGTTAGCCTCACACATGCCTCATATCCAGATATTTAGAATGAAGAAATACCTCATGCCACAAGTCTAAGAGAAGAAATTTTTCAGGTGCACCTTTAAGGAAAAAGTATTTATAGAACCTGATGGTTCCACCAAAATAAGAACACAGGATTTCTTACCTGCATAGGTATCGTGGAGGGTTTGGGAGGTCTTTGACCATGTAACACTCTCCCCCATTTACACAGAAGGCTTTCTGCTTTATGTCACATTTTGTGAGATGACTTGTCCCGGTTGTAGACGTGGAAGTGGCTGCAAAAGACAAGAGAGAAAATACAGATGAGAATGGCTTAAACTTTCCTACTGTCTGGTAAGTGTATTTGTATGTGAGGGAAGAGGTAAGTCCAGGGTGGATCTGACATGTCAGTGAACTCTCTTATCTACTGCCCCCACAAGTATTAGACCCCATTTTTTGCTGATAAACGCACCAAGCGGGGTTCAAATGCATACCTCAGGGAGGTATCCCACACCCAGCCTATGGGGAAGGCAGTATTTCTCTAGATCCAGTCCATCAAACAACCTTTGATTTCTGCAACACTCAGGTATACTTTATTAAATTAGACTGTATGACTTACATGCAGTTATTTAAATTGTGTGAATAGTTCAAGTGATTTTCATTAAAGCCATGTGACTGCAAAACTGCTTCTGTGAGCATGGTTAAACGTAAGTCAGGCATACGGCTGCTAGGCTACTGCTGCAGACACCCAAGTCACAATCTCTGGTGCAGTAACACCACAGTTTGGATATGTTTTACTCTAAATACTACCAAAAGGGGGTAGTATTTAGAGCTTCTAGCATGGATGCTGGTCATTTCCCAACTCAGGAACCATACCACTGATGGGTTATGTGACTTGTGGCAAATCATTCAGGTTTGATTCACAATTTAGTGGTAAGGCTCTCTCCACAGCCCACACAAAGCCACTCACCTTATCCTCCCAGCAGGTGGGATAAACACCCCATTATTGTGTCATCTCTCCACACTGACTGCAGAGCAAGCTTAAGGCCTTGAGAATTTTCCCTAATTTCTGAATGGCTAAAACTAACTGACGTCACTGTCTGCCATCTATTAAAGACGGAGGTGATTTCTGTATGGTCTTTGTTTGTCTGGGTCCAGACTTACAGAATTAAGAAATTTTCTTACAGTTTTAAACAAATCCTAGTTTTATTATTTCTGAAATATAGCTTCTGCCCTGAGGCGAAATGATGATTTAATCTACTGGAGCTGACTAGAAAGCTGCAAATGCCTACACAAAAGTTGTGTGATAGTCAAAGCATTTTCCAACACAAAAGCACCCAAGAGGCGTGTTTGTGCTACATGATGCATCACTTTCTACCATTTGCCTCAAACACAGAATCCAAAGAAAACATGCTTTTAATAGATCGGCTATTAGCAAGCATCACTTATGCATTTTGAGTTATTTCTGAGAATAAGGATGAAGTAGTCCCTGCCACATTTGTTTTTCATGCATTTCTCGTTATCTTACAAGGTGAACTGCATTTTTGGAATTCTGCACTTGGGAGAACAGGCCGCTGTGGCGGGCACCATCTCTTCAATGGTTTAGCTATCTTGTTTCAATGAGATATGAGTTTCCAATATATTTAAATTCCTCGCTATTGCTCCATCCAAATCCTGTCTGCCTGTACAGACATTGCCTCTCATCCTTTTCTCTACTTTGCCATCCATCACCGTATGCCAGCCTCTTTTTATGTTTTCTACAATGCCCTGTTTGTATGGGGTGTTTTCCTCCAACAGGCTGACAGGGCTCCAAAAAAAGCCCTTCCAAAACTCAAGTTCTCTCTGCTTCTCACCCTTGCAGCCACCCATTGTGTCATATCTCACTAGATCCTCATCTAGACTGTGGCCTAATGAAATGCAAGCATGAAGTACTCAATCCTCAGAATAACACATTCCTTTCTCCTGGCTCCTCGAAGCATGATGTATAACCTCTCAGACCAGGATAAATTTATACCTTGTCTACAAGCAGGAAAAGGGGTCATGTTTTAAAAGTAGTCTGATACTCTTTCAACTAGCCTGGGTTGAACAAGACTTTGTTGACAAAAGGCTGGCCAACACAATTGCCATCAGCTCAGCGGTGAAGGATTGTCTATGCCTTAAATCCGTGGGTTGACCACATCCTTGACACAAATCTTAGGCTGGGTAATTCATCTTATGGAGGAGCCTTTCCTTCTTCACTGGCTTAGAAAAACCCTAGAAACCCTAGATTACTAGCTCAAAAGGAGATGTCTGACATGACACGATATGGCGTAACATGAACACAGGTATGATGAAACCTGGGTGAGTGAATTCCATCTGTACAGTAAGAAACATGAGTTGTAACAGGTGAACTCACTTTTAAACTTATCCGTACTCACAGCACATGCTTAACTGTGTCCTTTCACTTCGTTAAAATATTAGAGAGACAAACACTCTGAGGATGTCCTTGAACTTGGAAAGCTAACGCATTGATTTGGGAGGAAAAAAAACCCCACAATACTGTCTGCAGTGTTTCTGCCAAAAACCCATATTGCTATGCTGCTGGCTAATGGAATGTTTGAAATTGAATTATGAAGGTAGATACAGCAGCAAGTGGGCTTGTAGCTATCTATAATTGTCTTCTCTGTCTTGCTTACAGCTTTTCTTTAAGCAGAAGTTCAATCAACTTCAGATCACTGTGTAGTTTCAAAGTAACAGTTATTTCCAAGCTGATGTCAGTGAGCTTGGGATAACAGCAATTGCTCTGAACTGATTACAAGAGATGGGAATAATCTGCAGCTCTCAGAAAATCCCATGATACAAAGGCTTTACACGTATTTGTGAGGAGTGCCTCTACCCTTCATTTTTGGCATCACACGTTCAAAACTGTCGTATAAATCTTGCACAATAATTTTCTCTGCATTACTGATCCACTAGCACCACAGTCCCAATCTGCCTGAGCTTCGTAACTGCATGGGATGAGGGGAGGAAAAAAGTCCCCAGTGAGAATTAATTCTAGTATTAGTTTTTCTTTGCAAAGAATGCATAGTTTTTATGGCATAAAGCCAGCATTCAGTGTACTCACTGTAAGTCTATTTTGCAAATTAAACAAGAAACACTAACTGTGGTTTTGGGTTTCACTGAAAGCCACATAACGGAAGAAATGTGGTGTTTGGGAGCAGGTGTTCATCAGAGCCCATTTCATACAGCCCATAACTACTCCTAAAACAGTGCATTTCCATAGTTCTGTAGCAGACAGGGGCTTGGAGAACATATATTGGGAATGACCTGCAGGGGTGAGGTAAAGCACAGCTGCAGACCACATATCTCTGCGTTGTTCTTTATCCACCTAGCCAAAATTCATACCTCCTTTCTCTTCTGTAATGCTTCCTTCAGCTATACAAGTAAAAACTAGCAAAGCTGGTATGTTCTGCTGTTCTGTACCAAACCCCTAACTAACACTTAAAGGGTAAATTACAGGCTAGAATGAAATTTGAAAATGTCATGCGTAAGTTAACATCTAAAAGCAGTGCATTCTCTCTCTCTCTCTCTCTCTCTCTCTCTCTCTCTCTCTCTCTCTCTCTCTTCTTTTTTTCCCTAAATGCAGAAATGCCATCCTTAAAAAGCAACTGCAGGCAGTTTGAATAAAGTCTCTGCTAATACAAATATTCACCTAGCAGTGAAGAATAATGAGATCTGCTCCCACCTAAGAGAACTGCCCAAAGCTTTTAAGGAAAAGAGAAACAGCTATAGCATCTTTTAAAAAGTACTCTGAAACATGAACTATTGCTGTACAACTAACTTAAGATTATTTCACATCAGGCAGACATCACTTCACACAATTCTGAGCTTACCTGGGGGATCTCTGACCCGTTTCTGTTCTGAAATAGATAAATGCATTCTCTTTCTCTATCTTGCTTTCCAAAGACCCCCTCTGAAATACAGTGGCTATAGCAGTGGACTCCCAGGCTTAGATTCTGGAAGGAGTCCTAAGGGATCTCTGAGTACAGACTGAGAAGGAACAGCTTTGCAACCTAAACAGAATAGAATCCATGCCTCCTTGAATTGAGTTTCTGCAAAGCTGGTGTAAACTCAGAGGACACACTCAAAGCCCCACAAGGTGACAAATGAGATGCTTATGACCAAAGGTAGATGAAGTCAAGTGTCATCTGCAGACAAAGGAATGTTTGCCATTCTCACTGGAAGGCCACATATAAATGTGCTACCTCAGTGGACTGCAGACAGAAGCCCTTCCAGTCTCATTTTATGAACAAAAAAAGAACAGAATACTAGGCAGGAATAAAACATACTCCTGCTTGTTCCTGTTTTCTGAAACTAAGGGTAGAGCAAAGCTTACTTGTAGTTCATAGCAACGAAAGCGTTACTATGATGAAACCCATGAAAGAAACTCAGGAAAAAAATTCTAAACTCTATTGGAAGCATTTCTGGTCCATTTCATAAGGCTGCTCAGAATTTTTCACATTGCTTTGATGATGCAATACATTGGCTGTTATAAACTCTCTGTTGAACCCAGTTATTATTTTTTTTTAGCCTCAGTCCTCAGAAACAACATGCACTAAAACAGATTCCTTGGACCTTCACATGAGATCATTCAAGAAGCCTGCTGTTTTGCCAGAAGCTGGAACTGAGCACTTGTAAGTTAGGGGAATTACTCTCTGGGCTTCAGACAACGCTTTCTTACTCCGGCACTATCTCTATAAAGATCAGAACCAGCAAGAAGGAAACAGGAAATTGCTGGGTCTGCAAGATAGAAACTTCAGGAAAGGCTGAGAGCATATAAACTCTTGCTGAACCACAGCAGTATGTCCTCCTTCTCTCTATGAGTCCTGAATCAGATTCAGCAGTGGCTTCCCCTCATGAATCCAAGCTTAGCAAAGCAAAGCAAAGCAAAAAAATAACAACAACAACCCCAACAACCCCTTCCCC